AGTGATGTCACTGTGAAAAAGGCACACACTGTTCTGGACTTCAACTCTGGGCCACTTGAAAGGGAAGCACGACTAAAGCAGAAGTTTTTGAAGATAAAAGCTTTGCACTTAGATAGCTAATGTACATGGTACAAACCCCTCTGATGTCTGAAACCTTCAATGTAGCTAAATTGCAGGTAATTTGTTGTAGAATCTATTGCATTATTTGGACTGGGCTGTATCCACTTAATTATCTCATCACCTTGCTGTCCCCATAATCTATTTCTTTCTTCTTCAGGGCACTGAAAGGTGGTGCCACATATGAAAAATGGTCATAAAGTAATTACAAGACACTCTGTGGAGGCTCAAGATGGTAACTTCCACAGTTTAATCATCTAGAAGGCCAAAATGAGAACTCAAAAGAACCTCAAGAAGAGGCAGCCAGTAAATTACTGTGGTTGCTGCTGAGCTTTTGGGAGCTGTTTTCCTGCTGGCAAAACCCATATTTTACATGTCAAAGACTGGGAAAAATTTGAAAGAGAGTTATTCTTTTTTCTCATTATGAAGTTAAATCATTAAATCCTTAAGGAATCTTGTGGACTGAGAGGGAGAGACTTTCCCAGCACTATGAACAGGTCAAGGAGAAGGGGTTAGATAAAGAAACAAACTAAAATGCTGCAGTGACCAGCAGCACACATATCACACAGCAGTGACAAATTAATTTAGCTCAAGGCAGCTCTTTCTCAGCCTCACTCCCCATTTCTTGTGCCTGTGCTGACTTTCATTGTTCTGTTTTCCTTTTGGACCCTTTCACTGTGGGATGTGTGGGCTACAGGTACATGTCCCCTGGCTCTCTGAGCTGGCAGAGCATCTCACTTGCATCTCAGTAATCAAAGGAGATTTGGGAGCCATCAGATGGGCTCACTCCTTCAAAACCCTCTTAATGACAGTGCCACAAATTGGCAGCTTTCAGGAGCATGGCTGCTGCCAGGGCAAGCTTTGATAATAGAAATGGCAGCTGAAATTTAAACTTAGACATTTCCATTACTCAGAGGAAAATGTGCAGTCAAAGAAGGTTTTCTCATCATCTGAAATTTCAAGCTGCTGTGTGCAGTGCTCTGGGGCCCATTTCTCATAGCCACAATGGCTTATTTCAGAGGAGTTTTGTGACTTTCTGGAAGAACCTGGGAAGTATCCTTTTTGGTACAGGAGCTGTAAGCTGAGATGATCCTCACCCTGAAATACCCAAAGTTAGAGGGCATCACCAGTCTCAAAGTTATTGAGATCAATAACTTTGTGGTTCTGTCCAAAACCAGCATCCCTTTAGCCTCTCTCTTTTAGACTGGACAAGCCTTTTAGACTGGACAATACAGACTGATGGAAGCACAGGATATCTGGGCTGGGATCTTCAACTGACAGAGATGTGTAAAGGGTGTGTAAGAGTTGTGTAGGTTTTCCAGCTGTGCACTGCAAAGGCATTCATCCACATTATCCCTTTTTATGCATCTCCTGTCACCTCCTTTTCCTTGCTCTTGCACCAAAATCCACTTGCAGGAGGAGGAAAACACATTCTGGCAGTGCTGCCAAAGGGCTGCTCAATTCCAGGTCAGCCAACAACTTTAAAGGGAAGCAGGGTACTTTGTCTTCTCCTCAGAAGTAAATGTACATACACATTCCCTTTGTACATACTAAAATATTGAAATATGTAAAAATATGGATTGTAATTAGGGGAAAGTTGGAATAGATTTGAATGTTTAGCATACCCTTGGTATTTCTTGTTTGGTTTCTGCCTGATGCCCTCTGCACAAAATGATACTTCACCCTAATTGTGCCCTCTCCGTGCAATCATGTAAATTTTGCTCTTGTTCATGTTGTTCTTCCTTTGGGAGATCTAATCTGGTTATCCTGGACATCCTGGAGGGGAGGAGGTAAGGACACCCATGGAGTTGGATTAAAGTTTCTGGCTGTGAGTGAGGAAATTTATTTCCCACAGTCCCACAGGGATGTCCTTGGTAAAAGGGTCAGCCCACTGTAAGGTCCCACAACTCAATATCCAGGGAATTGGGATTTCATATCAGCCTTCAGATACAATAATTTCTCCTGCAGTAACCCACATGTTGATCAAGAGAATTTTCCTCTGAGTCCAGAGATCATACATCTTTGGAATGGGCATCAGTAAAAATGACAGATCTTTCAATTTGTTGGCATCTGCTTTCTCATGGCTCTGCTCCTTTTGGAGATATTTACAGCTGTGCAAATTTATTAGGGTTTTGCAGAAAAGCAAATGCAAAGCTCATCACACAATTATAATTTCTGCTGTTAAGCTTCTTCCTATTTTTGTTTATTTATTATGCCAATGTATTTTGAGTTTTTGAGTTGGAACAGCCTTGTACACACACATTTTCCCCTCCAGGAATTTGTTAAAATTGCTTTCTGGATATATGAACTCTCTGCTTATTTGGACCTTTTCTGCAGTAGACCCCTCAGACCTGCAGATAAAAACTGCAAACATTGATCAGGGCTCTGCACAGGGGAACAGAAGTGACCTGCAGCAGCTGCTTGTCCAAGCCTGGAAAGCACCAGTGACAAAGCTAATTAATTCATTTCTCAACTCCATGCCTTCTGCTTAATGCACATGCCAGCAGTGAACCACATTATTCCACTGCAATCCAAATATCTCGTGGTAATGTGACAATGTTCCTCTAATGTTTGTGGAGAATTTCATTAAAATATACAGTGGGAAAGCAGAATCTTGGTTTGCTTCTCCTGCTGGGTTTTGTTTCCCCCTATTTTGTTTCACTCTGAATCCCCAATGTTTCTATTAATGTGATGACATTTCAATATTATTGAAACTATAAGGAGTTTTCTTAATATTTCCAAATCAACCTCTTATTCATAATATTATTTCAGTGAAATGCCTCTTTTTCTACATCAGCTATTTCTCTCATGACTCTAATAGATCTTACTAAAGCTCTAATTCCACATTTATGGTATAAAATAATGATAACCTGTTTCTTCCACTAATTTACCCACATAGTGAAGCTAAAGAGAAATCTGCATTTCTACACTTTTAAAGCACATTAAGACATAAAAATCCCAAGCCCTCCATGCCCTATGCTGGGATTTATCTTGCAATTGTGAATGTTACTATTTATCTTGAGAGAGGAATGATACAGAGGTGCAACACACACCCCTGAGCATGCACAGGCACACAATTCCAGAGTTCAAAATTTCAACAAGCTTTTCCTTTCAGTGTAAAGGAAAAAAAGTCTGAGAGTGTTTGAGGCACTTTCAGGCATAGCAGAAAGATGTGGGCATCTTTGAAGACTAAAAGGAAAAAAAAATCACCCAAACCAGAATTCCATAATTAAACATATTTATACACTATTATCCACCTACACACTAGGAAATATTTACAGATCACCTGATACTAAGGAACAGCCCTGGTTTAAGCTGGGATAAGGTTGCCTTTTTTCCCAGTAGCTGGTACAGGACTGTGTTTTGGATTGAGAATGAGAATAAATGCTCAGTATATAAAATGGGGAGAAAGCTGACCAGGGGCCACTGCTTGGGAGCTGCCTGGGCATTGATCAACAAGTGGTGAGCAAAAGCCTTGAGCATCACTTGTTTTGCATATTCTAGTTCCACTATTATTATTATATCTTTATTTTCTTTCCTATTAAACTCTCTTTATCTCAATTCATGAAGTTTAATTCTTTTTTTCCAATTCTCTTCCTCATCTACTGCATTCCTATTTCACTTTGCAAATGTTCTCTGCTTGTTGGTTCAAATACAGCCAGGGAATAGAGAAGGACTTCAAAGAGAAAAACTAAATATTATTCATACTACCACACTGATCCACAGATCATTTCAATAAAATAGTCCCCAAACAGACACAAAAAACCCACCCTAAAAGTGTTTACCAAAACTTGCAGACTTGTCTTTTTGTTACCTAGGTTTCTATTTGGACAGTGGAGCTTGTGATTAAGTTTTCTGACCTCTTGCTGTTCCACTCCCCAGTGAGATGATCACTGTGAAAGACTTTGGTGATGCACTGACACTGAAGAGATTTCCACAACACAGCAGCAGAAATTAACCTTAAGCAGCTGATTTGTGCCCAGCTCCTGACACAGAATCCTTTTTATGACCGTCCCTCCTTCTCTAATTACTCTTTTGCTTTCAAACTTTCTTCCCCCCATCCATGAGGTGAGGATCTCTCCTGACTGCTGGATCTGAAGCAGGAGCTTTGATCCAGTGCCTGCTGAGCTCCATTGGTTTCAGACAATATCAGAAGGTGTTGGATCAAGGCTGGAAGTTCTGGAAAACATTAACTACATATGGTGTGTGGAGCCAAGAGATAAAGCTGGTAGAAAAGGGAGAGGGGGAGAAGGAGACAAAGAAAAGCATTTCCCTGAAGATGGTTCCTCATTTCATACAACACTTCAAACCGCACAGGATTCTTCAGTCTTTACTACTGAGTGCTCTGGGAAAAAAAATGGAAATCTGCCATGTCACACCAAAGAGGAAGCGAGTAACTTTCTCTTGTCAGAATACAAATGATAACACATCTTCTCTCTTTCTCTGGTGCCATGTCATATCATCCTCTGTCTTATTGCATTTTAAAGAGAACTACCTGGCCCTCAATTCTTGTTGCACAAATCAAACCAACTCAGAGCCCATTTTGAGAAAAATCCTCCACTAACCTAAGATTTGTTCTGCAGCATTCCCATGATTCAGCTGAAAGGCAAAAGAACCAGTCTGCTCTGTGAGAAAGGATTTAATTGCACTGGTTAGAAGAATTAATCTAGACAAGCTCAAAGAATACGAAGAAAGGAAATTTCTCTTGTTGGAAACTGAATTTTGCTCTTGGATATGCATCTGTAACTTCTTCTGAAGTTAGCAGCATATCAAAGGCAGGATTAGGCCATAGGACATTCGCATCTCTAGCCAAGGATCCAGACCAAGGGTGGAAACAAAGGGCATTTATTAAGCCAAAATTAACAAATATTTTAATTGCCTACCTGCTCCATTTCCGTAAAGGTGCTCTGCTCCTCATCCTCCTCCTCGATATCCGACTCACCCACAGCAATGGGAACACAAATGGACAGCTCAGGATTGGTCATAAAATCATCATCTGTGATTGCTGGGTGTTTCTCTCCGTTTTTGTTGACCCCATCCTCGGCGCGGCTCTCCTTGTGGTTCTCCATGTCTTTGCCGAGCTCGGCCGTGGCGTGGCTGTTCACGCAGTTGTTGAGGGCTCCTGGGTTCTGGGCAGCGAGTTTCATCATGGCCTTCTTCTCAGCCGTGGTCTTGGGGTGCCTGAGGACGTGGCAGCAGAAGTTCCAGGCGGCTTTTTTGGCGTACTGCAGGCCCCTGTTGATGCGGGCGAACGCGAGCTGCAGGTTGTTCATCTCGCCGTCCTCGTCCGGCGCAGAGAGGTTGTCGGCGCTGAAGGAGCTCAGCAGCAAGGCAAGGAACAGGTTGAGCACCTGGAAGGAGGGAAGTTAAAAGGAAATTGGTGAATTTTAAATTGGTGGAAGAGGTTTTACAGTTGTCGGAACCCAGGAAATTCCTCTGGCTGCCCTGGAGGACGTGAGACCCTGTCAGGGGGCTCAGAGACCTTGGCACAGAGCCCAAGACCCCTGTGCCTTTGATTTAGCCCTTGGAAAAAAACAATTACCAACCTTAGATGAAGAATTACAAGCCAAGAAAGTATAAGTAGAATGACAGTGAATTTATCGGGGTGAAAAAGAAATATTTTGGGGTTTTTAGAATGGAGGTTTAGGGGGCAAGAGGGAGGAATCTGGGCATGTTCAGCCTTTCTCCTTCTTCTTCTTGGCCTCCATCTTCTGCTGTGATGTTGGCACTTTTAGATTGGTTTAGAGTAGAAGCTCACTGTCTAACAGGCATTGGAAAGTAATTGTAAATAATGTACATGTAGTTTTTGGTATAAAGAGATAACACTGCCCTGGGGGCAGGCAGAGTGCCTGGAACTGTCCTTCTGAGTGGACCTTGGCAGGTCAGGAGAAAGAATTTTATAGATAAGATACAATAAACAACCTTGAGCCCAAGAACTGAAGAGTTCTGACTCCTTCCACCACCACCAGGCTGGGAAAAGAGACTTTCTAATGCATCTTGGGGTCACAGTGACCAGCTAGAGAACCTGAGATACAGTGACTTCTGTGAGCCAGAGAGAAGTTTGATAAGAGGATCCATGTTCAGCCCTAAAAGAATTTTCTACCAAGGTTGTTGACATAGAAACCAAGAAAGAAAGGAGGATAAATAAGGGAAACCTGCAACTGCCTATTCCAATGAGCACTTTGTCTTTCATGACCAATAAGTAAAGTGTAAACTTGTGAGTTTTGTAAGAATGTATAAAAAGCATGCACGCTATAATAAAAACAGGTTTGAAACCTTCAGAAAATGGAGTGTGTTGCTTTGTGTTGTGACCATCTCAACTCTGACATGTTTGGTCCTGGAAACAGGAGGGTCTACATTTCAGCTCATCTGTTGCACTGTAACCCCATCAAGGAAATCCCTCTAATTAATAAGGATTTCTAATTTCTAAGGTGGTTTCAGCAGGAAAAGGAGTCTGCAGGCATTTTCAAACACATTGACCTCAGGTGCAAAAGTTCAGAATGGACAATAACACACACTGACATTCCCTCACCCCCTCCCGAACCCGAAACCCCCAAAATATGGAAAATAAAACATAAAGCTCAGAAATAGAATACAAAAAAAGCCCCCAAAAAGCTCTGTGAAGACCTCACTGTGGCCTTTCAGTACCTAAATGGAGTCTATAGCAAAATGGGGACAAAACTTTTTGTAGGATTGTTGTAATAGGACAAAGGGAAATGGCTTTAAACTAAAAGAGGGGAGTCTCAGATTAGATTTAGGGAAGAAAGTTTTAAAGATGAGGATAGCAAGGTACAGGTTCCCATCACTGGAAGCATTCAAAGTCAGGTTGGATGGGGCTCTGAACAATCTGATCTAGTTTAAAATGTCCCTGCTCACTGCACTAGGTGCCCTTTAAAGGTCCCTTGCAACCCAAATTCTTCTATGATTCTATGACAATAATGTACATAGGCAAGGCACTTCAACCACGCTGTACATTTGGAAACATTTCTAAACATTTGTATGCATTTTCACAGACAGTCTTGTTTTAAATATCCTCTGGGCCATGAAGGAAATCTATTGTGACTGTGAATAAACACCTCTGAGGTCATATAGCTTCAAAAACTTCTCCCTGAAGGCTAAAACAAGTCATCACAACCAGATTACTGTGGCCAAATCTGAGCAAGACTCACTCCCAAAGCAGGCTTGGTCCTGAAAAGGCTGTTACTAGTCAGGAAAAAACAAAACTATTTGAAGATATTCACAGGTCTATGAAAAGTTCCAAACTGAACCTGAGATTGTGTGTTACCTTCCTCTTGTTCTTGCCACTTCAGAACTCTACTTTTGCTGGCAGTGTGTGGCAAGATTAGACACAATTAGGCATTTAAGGGATATTTTTGATGATTTAAACCTCTTTTTACACCCCTGCCCCGAATAAATACCATTATAGCCAATAAATAAAACCAGCTTCTTCTCAAAGGCCATCCCCAGTAATATATCTCACAGGCTGGTCACCAGTTGCTGTATATTGAACATTACATCTCTTATGGTCTGAGAAGAAATAAATTACAGCTTTTGTGCTGGATTTATCAGGTCAAAAAGTTCACACTGGAGGTGGATGCTTGGGATGACAGGAACAGGGCAAAGGTGACTCAAACCAATATCTGCTAAAATATATTCACCCCAAAACAAAGCAATCCCAAATTGCCTGGTATCAACTCAACTGCTGCCTGTACCAAGTGGGTGGGTGACAGCTCCGGGTACTGGCAAGGAGGGGTCAGTGCTGCAGCACTCCTGCCATTTACAGCAATAAAATGGACTTTGTGCAGGTATTTTCTCTGTGATCTCTTAATGCTACCAGATATACCTGTAAGCCTCCTAACTTCTCTCTTTCTGATAGTGCTTTAAGTTGATAACACCTGCTAGACCAACATAAACAGCATAAAAAGTACTTCTATTTAACTGGGTCTTACCACAGAGCCACAATCTTTTTGCTATCATCCCTTTACCCTCTTATTTCAAGTATTCAGAATACATGGGATAGAATTCTGAAAACCTGGTCCTAATCACTCTGATGGCACAGTGTTTGAAGTGCCCTGTCAGTGCTGTTTTGTAAAGGACCCTTTGCAATCACTGTGACTGAAAACAAAAGCAGTTGGTGGCACAGCAGATGCCCCCATCCATCATGAACCACTGAATAAACCATCGCTGCCCCAGCACTGCCCTGCTCTGAAGCAAGGTGAGATTAAAGCTAATTGTTTCTTAGCTGGCCCATCACACTGAGAGCTTGTGTGGGTCTCCTCATCGCTGTGGTGGCCTGGTGGGAGTCAATTTTTCCTTTCCCACCCCACTCACAAGTGATGCTGTGTGAAAGCAGAGCAGGGGATGTGCAGCCAAGCAGGTGGGAGCCCACCAGGGGAGGAGGCACTGGCAGATCCCCTTCAGCCACTTTCAGCCCAGTTTGAGAGCAGGATGAGGGCTCAGAGATAACCACACTGCTGAAAGTGTCCTGGAAATAATCATGTGTGTATGTGAGAGTGAGCAGCTGGAGGAAGGGAGGGATAAAGGGATCCAGAATAAAAAATCTTCTGGACTCTGAAGGTACAATTCAATTACCTTAACAGAGGTGTCTGCTGATGCTGGAGGGTATCAGATACCTCACAGGAGGTCTGTGACCTCCCAAAGCTCCATTTGCCATCCAACCAGGGCACCCCATGTGTTGCAGGGGGAGACAGACTGGCCAAATTTAGGGGACTGAATTGCTCATCAAGGATGGCAGCTGCCTCCAGCCTCAAACACCAAACCTGAGGGTCTAATGGTGCACCTAAGCCTCATTTCAGTCAGAAATTCATCTTGTGGGCAACAGAGACTGACCAAGCACAGGTGACCCTGCCAGGGCTACGTGCATCTGCCAATATGCCTTGTGCCAATTGACCCTTCCATGCCCAAGTCATCTTCAGGCAATTGCCCAGAAGGACAAAAAATATCAAAAAGCTGTTCTGGGAGATCTGTGTCCAGCTGTAGGCCAGGATGGATACCCTGAAGTATCCCCAGAGGTCCTCAGGCCAAACTGAGTCAAACCCTAGACCTCTGCAGAGTAGTGGTAGTCCAGACATCTCCATACATGAAAATCTCCTTGTATGCACAGAATTTCCTTATCTGAAGCTGAATTTCATCCTGTACTTCGTTAACTCTGCTGTTCACCAAAGGTTTGAAACACCTTGATTCACTTTTCTGTATTAATTTCAGATATCAAGCTGCATATACAAATTAGTTATGTTTCTATAAATACACCTGCAGGTATATGTAGCATCCTCAGTATTGTTATTTACCTGGATTGTTAAAGCAATCTTATTTTCTTCCCAGAAATGCAGCTGACATTTTGCACAAAGAACCATTTGCACTTCATGCTTTTAGCCAAAAATAAATCTCAAATATCATTCCCTGCTTCCTTCATCAGCAGGTAACCTCAGAGTTGCATTGCTGGGCATTCAAACAGAATGAACTGCTGAATAAGCACTTTATATTTACTTGTTCCCACATTTCACTGCACACTGCATTTTCCAGAAAAAAAATATATGCCTAACCCATGACACACCACATTTCCTGTAAAAGGTTACTAATAATACCCAGTCCTCCTGGCTGCTAACACAGTGCTTTCAGTTTAAGTAAAAGCAAACTAAAGATTACCTCAGTTTCCAAAAGCAATGGCAGATTTCTATGCCCAAATAGATCCCCTTAGAAAGAAATCTGCTTTCCAGTGACACTGAGCACCCAGACTGTGAAGCAGGTCACTTTTTGGCCTTTGAGGTTGGGAATCAAATGACAGATGCACTCAAAGAACCCCAAATTCTTTTAGTATAATTATATTAAGCTTTTAGCCTAATGACAATCCAGCGTGCTTTCATTGACCTTCTCCCTCCCAATGCCTTTTCCAAAGCTCGTGACTCTGGTTGTGCCAGTATGAGGCACAAATGATCAGATTAATCCAGCCTCATGGCAGGTGCCTCCCTGAGGTGCTTAAGCTGCAGTTTTCCCAGGATGTCTGCAGACAATGGAGACAGTCTAGCATCCCAGGGGATGTTGAGGAGCTCAGCAGTGCCCACCAAAGACTAAGCAAGCTTGGATTTTGTATCTCAGAGCTGGATTAAAGGCAGATGCAGGTCAAATAAGCCACACAAAATCAGAGTATCTCAAGTTGGAAGGACCCATAGAATCATCAAGTCCAGCTCCCTGCAGGCCTATCTAAAATGAAATCATATGAGCAACAATGCTGTCCATTGTCCCACCCAGCAGCCCATCCTGGTGACAATCACACTGCAGGACAGTGGTGACCAGCCTTTAAACCAGCCTTTACAGCGTTCCCCAGGGCACA